ACAAAAACATCAATCTAAGTCAATTCGATTTTCCAAAAACAAATTGCCAGTATGCATTTTCGACTCTTTCATTTTAAGGTGCGAGTTAAGCAAATCATCCATTGTAATAGAAATTAATGATTTATCAGTATTTGAATTTGCTAAATTTGAAGATTTTTCTGGTTTATCATTTGCGCGCATGAACTGCCTCATTCTATAAACAGACGCATTTCGGCACATTTCTCGAAGATCTGAACCAGAAAATCCATTTGTAAGTTTAGCCAAGCGGTTAAAATCGACATTACGATCAACTTCTTCAGTTTCTAATATTAATTTAAGAATTTGGATTCTCTGCACTTCGGAGGGAAGACTAATGTGAAATTGAGCTGGCATTCGGCGAAGAATAGCTTTATCGAGGTCTTGTGGGCGATTAGTAGCGCCCATTACAATTACTGCCGAATTAGGATTTGTACTAAGCCCATCCCATAGCATCATAAACTGAGTTTTCATCATAGCAGTAGCCTCATGGTCATTAGAATTACGGGCACGTAGAAACGAATCAATTTCATCGACGAAAATAATACAGGGCTGAATTTTGGCAGCTAACGAAAATACTGCTGATGCAAGTTTTTGTGATTCGCCATACCATTTGTCAGTTAAGATGGCCACATCTAAGTTTATAAACCTCATGCCCGCCTCTTTAGCAGTGGCCTTTGCAATCAATGTTTTTCCACACCCTGGAGGTCCATGAAGAAGTACGCCTCTTGGCGCTTGCCAAAGTTTCGATTCCTTGAATAAGTCACGGTGTCTCACTGGTAGCACAACGGATTCACGAAGATCCTGGATAACTGAATCTAAGCCAGCTATATCGCTCCATTTAACAGTTATGTCAGCTGGAACAATAAGGTGTGATGCAATCATCAACTCATAATCAGTAAACGTCTGAACATTAACGTTGAAGTTATTTTCTTTGCTTAATCTATAATAAAAATATACAATAACTTTTTTTTAGCATTTCTATTATTGTAAATTGAAACAAACCTTTTTAATTGTTCTTCGGCAAGCAACTTAGCTTTCTTCTTATTTTTACTGGTTGGGTCTAATTGGTTCATCATCCATTTAACGGAGTAATATGTTATTACTGAAGCTATTGAAATTCGTAGAAACATTTGAAAGACATTTCCACGACTTAGTTCTGAGCCTCCAAAATTAAAATGATCCATTTCATCTCATATATTTATTGTCACTAAAAAAATTATTTCAATGCTTCAAAATTCTGGATAGAGATGTAAGAATAAAAGTACGAAGAATATTATTATCGGTTTCAGGCTTATTGCATACATATCGATATATGTATGTATGTCTGACCAATGCACTATGGGTAAAAATACAGATAGTGCGGAATAAACCTAATTTGTTTTTAATCTCGAATCCGCAAAATTTTGTTTATCTCATTAAGGAGATTCCAATAGACTTAAAACAATTTTTATAAAATTTTGGGGACTGCCTGTAATGTTTTCAGCTTTGTCGAAGTCAGCTGATTCAGGATTGCATTGCGAATTGCAAAAAGAGTGAGAATTACACTGCGCGTCATCAGGTTAGCGCCCCCTTTACACTCAATCTTTAAGCTGAATAAAAGCTAAACCATCAGAGCTTCATCTTTATTTATTTTTTTTTTTGTATTATACTACATCTATTTTTCTTTAAAATAAAAAACAATGGCTACTCCTAGCAATATGGAATAATTTTTAATATTTTTTTTTTTTTTTTTTTGTAAAATGTACAAAAAAAATGTAACAAAAATTCGGTCATCAGATTAGCGCCCCCTGCGATAAATTCAATTTACAGATTTAAGTTAATGACCAAAAATAACACCTGCATATTAAGCTATTATTATTTTTAAGTAATATCACTAATGCGTAGCGCCGTTTTTTTTTTTTTAATTACTTCAAAAATTCGATTAGGAATGCAATTATAAAGTTGTTCAATATAATTCAAGGATATGGTTGACCAATCGTTTGGAATACCTTCGATTAACTCTGTTTTTTACTATAATGCTTTCCGCACTCATATACTTTTATACTATCCCCAGACGTTTCCAATGATATTAAAGTCGAGTGAGTATGGTGGTCACTCCATGAGATCATTTTTTTGGCCCTGAATCCAGGACTTCACGGATCGGGCGGTCTGAATTAGAGCATTATCATGCTGGAAAATCTAATGCCGGTTTTCAGACAGGTTATGCAGTGCTGTAGTAAGATCATTATACTTACACCAATGCCACACCACCACCCCGCACAGCGGCTTGGAAACCGTTCCAAATAATGTTCTTCTATGAGTAGGTCATGGATAYAATAATTATAGCCMTCAGTTCCTTCCAAATTCAATTTTTCTCATCAGAAAAGACAACATGCTGCCATTGG